ACCTACATCATCATCATCCTGAGTCAGACACTAGTACTCATGTTCTGTGTATAAAATTCATGCAAAATGGAAGCGTCTCTCTCTCTCTCTCTCTCTCCCCTTCCTCTTAAGATCTGAACGTTCACTACTGTTTATATTCTTCTTCAACTTGTCATCTCTTCCCTCCTCACAAAACTATCGATCATGACACTTCGTCCAAATCAGAAAAAGTGAGCCTCCTACAATCGTTACAAGCAATGTTTTTCCATCAACGATTATTACATTGGTATTTTTATCTATTTAACATTAAACGTTAGTTATGGGACATATAATATAATTATATCAATGAAATTAGGCTAAATACTTAATTGGGTTAAATTCTCCAAGATGGGAGTGGGAAGGCAAACCCCAATGGTATTGTGTTGCCATGTCATGGTGTCAACATCTAAGTAGGGATCTATTTTCCCACTACCATGTTGGATCATGAAAGAAGTAGTCACCATCTTTCATGGGTTTTAGCCACTTGTTATCTAACAAGTTCCTTTTTGGTTGATGCAAAGCAACCTCATGAAATGAATGGAATTAAATTCTCAGCACTCTGCACTTTCGTGTAACATCTTTATTAATTGTTAGCGTATTTTTTGCTTTTTCCAAACATGTGCAATCATATACCTAATATCCACTTCCATCTCTCCTAAAACCTTCACCACATTCGTTCCATTTAGGGTTACTTTCATTGTTAGATATACAAGAAATTCAGTTGTCAAATGTATTAAAAATTATGATAAATTGCATCAAAGGTCAAAATTTTTAGGGCATTTTCATTTTGATTATAGAAATTTAAAAACTTGTATTATAATCATTAAAATTTTAATTTACTTTCATTACGGTTATCATCGTTAAAAATGCTAACATGCCATGTCACGTTAAAAAATTCTAAGCACTTTCTTTCAAATTGACAATATTCTCTCCTCCCTTCGTTGTCATTTCTATCGTCATTTTATAATAATTTTTTCAGGGATACGATCTCCTAGTACCTCTCAATCCATCCCTAACATAATACATTAGATTTTTTTTATATAAAAAAATATATGTATAACCACCGTAATTATATGGTTAAATTTTAGCAATCGTATTAAGAAGTTGGTTATATATATAAACTTGTAAAATTAACAAATCAATCAGAACAAAAATTTAAAAATGAAGAAATTAAGTTAATATTAACAAAATGGACACGGTCAACTGGGGTTAGTTTTGCTGATTGTAGCCTGCCTTAACCCAGATTGAATCTTTATTAGGTTAGTAATTATATATGTATCAAGAAAAAGAAAACAAAATAGATCATGAATATGATATTGCCTGTTGATATGGATATCCAGCTGATTCAAAATATAAAAATCAGCAATAGTATTAAACCCATATTCTTATGTAGGACTGCTCGTCTCGCTCTGTTTATTTCCTTCTCCATCTTCTCTTATTACCTTCTAGTGATTGGACCGTCTTACATTACACTTATATCAACTTATTTTTACTTAAATTTATACTAAATACTAGGGAATGATATGATCATTTATACACAGATCATTATCCATTACATTTCTTATAACTCATAAAATTAAAAAACAATAACTATCTACAAAATCTGATCATAAAATTAAAAGCAGTAACGATTCGTATTAGATAATTATGTTCAATATATATAATACACTTTCTTAATCTTATAATAGTGATATGAAATTCTATATTTGACCACGAGTTGCCAAAGCGTTTCTTCACTCATGTTTTGCCATTTGGAACATCACATCCAGGCGTGCAACCTTCTTTTCTTTTTCCTTTTTTTTTTGTTCAAAGGAAAAAATGGTTTAAATATTGTTTAATTCATTTTCAATTATAGTTGTTTGACCGGACATTTGTGGTCCATTACTTAGAATATTAAGAAAGCGCGAATAATTTTTAATAATTTATAGTCGTTTTATTAATTATATTTAAAATATATAATTATATTTTTATAATATTATTTTGAAAATATAAATATATAATATGTTTTTCTGAAGGATAAGATCAGATTTGAGTTTGCGATGTCCAACCCAACTTGAATAAAAAATAATAATATAACTAATTTTTATTTATTCAAAAATAATTACTTTAGTACATCTATCATTTTATATATTTGTTATATATATATATATATATATCAAATTAGATCAAATTAAATACGAACAAAAATAGGGTCGAGTTTCGATTCCCAAGAAAAAAAAACAAAATCCAAAGAAATGATGTATTTACAAGTGTTGGTTTTGATCACACATTGGGCATTTACATTGTTTGTTTGGGGGAGGGCTAGCTCGACTATTGGGAGATTATAATGAGCCTATTTAATAAGCCTGTATTAAGGAGATGGCTACACCAAAACCATATCACTTGGGGCTTTCAGGTCAGATCCCAGGTTAATGCCCACTTATATTATATGGATTTTAGATCAATTACATTTTTTTTTATAATGTAGGACCTCCCAAGGCTAAAATGAAGAATCCGATCCTACAAGGCAACCTTCGGAGGGGCTCAAAGAACTCACCACTCTGTCCCCTGCTTTTTTCCAAGATTTTCAACCAGCGCGATTCGAACCTAAGGTATGAGACAAGCTCATAATCCCAAGAGCCCTTGCTTTACCAACTGGGTCATGCATGCTGTGGTAATTACATTTGTTATAGCTTCATCTCTATTTTTTTTAAAGAAAAAAAAAGATAAAAGACAAGCTAGTTAGCAGTGTTGTAGTTCACTGCACAACATCCTTCTAGAAGGCTTCCCTAGTCACTTCCGGGATTGTTTGAAAGAAATGTGTCCCAAATGGTCATGTCCAAGCCATCTGAACTAAAACATCTGCAACTCTATTATTCTCCCGAGGTGCAAAGACAATTTTCAAATTCCAGTTCCTAACAAGAAGCTGCTGAATATGTGGAAACATCGAGGAACTTGAACTTCCTCTCCTATTAGAGCCAAAACCAATTGCTGATAAACTTCCCTACTATCCGTTTCGACCACGATCGAGCGATATCCCATATTTCAGGCCAAAGATAAACCTTCAAATATGCCCCAAAGCTCTACATCAAGCACTGAACAAACACCAATGGCTTTGGCAAAACCCATAATCCAACCACCCGTGTGGTCCCTTAGAATACCTCCGCACGCTGCTAAGCTCGTGTCAGTTCTAAGCCAACCATCAGTATTAAGTTTAACCCAATTTATGGGGGGCAAAGACCAAGGTAACCCCCGCTGAACAGGAGCAGTGTAGCCCGCCTGTATAAGAGCGGGTCCGACCAGCCTGCATCGCTTCATTTTGTAGTCGTTTACTTTGGTGTAAGACAGTATCATCAACAAGAAAATTCTCATCAAATAAAAGACAATTACGACAATTCCAAAGACAACAAATTACCGATCCAAACATAGATCCCAGTCTGTCGAATCAGTAGTAAAATAATCCAATCTCGTAAGATAAATAATCACCCATTGTTTCATGTTCATGCTGCAAAATTTCTCCATCCGGGAAGGAAGAACCAACTGTTGCCAAGTTGCTCGGGCCAGAGAACACTCTCGGAGCACATGTGAAGTAGATTCAATCGCACCACCACAAACATCACAGTGCAGACTCGTTGCCATATGTCTACGTTCATTTGCTTGAAGATAACTTATCTCAAACAACAAAATTGAGGTGTACTAATACATGTTGTACTCCAAAGGAGAAAATATATTTAGATCTTGAAAAATGTTATTATTAAAAAATATATTTAAAACATTAAAAAAGGAACAAAAATAATAAAATTAATAACCGATCTTATATTGAGATGTATTGAACACTAGTATTTTAAAAGTAGTATGAAGTCCCAATAAGATAAGGCTACCGCACTGTAGTGGTGGTACATGTAGATTAAAGCGTGTTTTAGATGCAATTGTCGTCATAAATGGGGCTTTTGGGATGCACGTGTTGCTTAATTCGAAGCTGGAAGAGGAGCTTGAATTCTTTGAATATTAATCATATATTTTGGACGTCAACTAAGCTTCTTCAAGTGAAAGCTGTGGTTTTGAGAGAGGTGGGCGTGCCAATTACTTAAACCTACTTACCAAATATTGGTTGCCTTGGTCCGCATAAAGACGGCTGTGGGATTGGCTTAACGCCATTCGTAATCCTGATTAACAGTGTTGGGCCATGGACACCTTTGGAAACAATTTCCTTGCTTGCTTCAGCTAAAAAGATTGGCATTCAATAAAGACGAATATTCGATGTTGAATACCCTAGCAATTTTGAACGGCCACCGTTTTTGCCGAAAAGCTAATTTGATTCTCAAAAAGATCTTTTTGTATCTTCCACGTTACCAACAACATCTACAACTAGATATTATTGTATGTCATAGCATCTTCAACACAACCGATCAGCCATGGATGGTCCCTTTGCTACTGCAAAAAGTTTAGTTGAAATCGACTACCAGGAAAATGAAATAACAACAGAAAATAACCATTGAAGGAAAGGCCATGATGGCCGCAAGTCATCGTGTACTATATGATACGTCGGAAAGTTCGAATCCCGACATTTACAATCTGTTTCTTAATCTCCCGAATACTATTGAGGTTACCATGAACACCTAAACATATCAACTTGCATCTTTCAACAAATGACATAAGACCAAACATGAATAAACAAATGCAAGTAGACACTAAACAAACCATCCAAATTCGTAAAATGATGTTAAAAAAAGCGACTAACAAACAGTTCCTCAATCAAGGAATGTTAATCTAAGACCAGCTGTTGACCAACGCTGGTTTGATTTTGGTCTAAGGTCAATAAACAGCATCACCTAACAAGAATCAATTCAATCAGGCGATCAATCCTGGAAAGCAACTTGCAATATCATGCGCAATTCAGACCAACATTTCAAACGATGGATGTAAATCGTAAGCTACTGAAAATGTACGCCAAACCCAACAAAGATTCTTCAACAAAGCCATTAAACAATATAACAAAGAGATTAAGCACACCATAAATGTTCCTTCTTTATTGCAATGCAAAAACACTGGAAAACAAGGATTATTTATTACTGCAGGTCTTTTCTCAGTTACATGAGAACATTAAGGTGGAAAACATAAAAACGCAACATTCTACCATGGCCATCACTAATGATAGCCTAACTTTCAGCACTTTATTTCTATATAAAGCTGAACCCAAGGAAGCATAATGTATATGGGTTTAGTTTAATGGGAGGAAAACTTAAGGTTAAGGGATTTATTGAACCATGCCTTCCAGTTCCCAGGTGACTTCCTAGTAATCGATCCAGCCGATTTTCCATTGTTTTCTATCTTTTCAGTCCTCGGCTTCTTGCACAGTATGAAATTACGTGACCCTTGTGATCCAATAGTTTCCCATGTACTCAGTGCTGCTGTGAAAAATAACCAGACACCAAATATTTAAAAAAAAAATTCTAAATTTTCCCAAATAAAAGACTGTTAACTTCGTAATCAAGTTGTATTTGAATAAAAGATACCATCTGATCCAGAACTGGGGCAATAAAGGAGAAAATCATTAAGATTGGAACCGAGAACAGGGAGGCGACCCTCACGAGCATAAGATTTCAAAGCAGTATCAATGACAGCAGCAACGAGCTCTTCCTCGTTAACAACAAAACGGATCGGTCCAGCGCTACCGAGAACGGTAACGCTAATCAAGAGTCGGTTTCCCTTGGGACCCTGGTTCTTCTTCTGCTTGTAAAGCAACATCCTTTCGATTTTTTTTAAATAAAGAACCCAAAAACAATAAAATAAAGAAAGAATCTAAACCAAGAAAATTGAATGAATAATTTCACCGAAACAAAATCTGGGTAATTGGTGGGGAAAGTACTGCGATTTTTTCAAGGGGTTTGTTGTTTGTTTATGGGTCAAGGCCGAGGCAGCGGTAGTACCAGCCTTCTTTGCAAGAACCGAATGCGAAAGCAGAAGCGGAGGAAACAGGAAGGAGTGCGCTCGCCCTGGATTTGCAAAGGGAGAGCATCAAAATACTAGAGCTCCGAATCGTTTCCACCATTCACAAAAATACCAAAAGATCAATGTTTATTATTCCAACAAAAAGGGGAAAAAAGCCAGAAAAACAGAATTATGGGGGTCTCGGATTTCCACGAAAATAAAGGAGAAGAATGTTTCGTTTGTTGTTGAAGGTGGAAGGTGTGAGAAGCGTTTTGGGGATCGACAGATAAGAGTTGAGGAATAGGCTTTAAATACCAAAAATGCAAAGGTTTTTTATATCCTTTCGAGAGTTTCAAGTTCGGCTTTTTTTTCCCGTTCTTTTTTGTGAATTTCGGTTTGATTCGCGAGATTATATATGGAAGTTTTTTCCGTGTTATTTCGTATTAAGGGCTACAAACTGGTAAATTTACGTATTCGGTCCCTCACATAACGAATGCCCCTTCCCTCGGCTCACCAGTCACCAATGACCCAAAACGGCGATATTTGGAATTTTCTGGTATTAACTTTCTTTTATGACCAAAATATAGATTTTAAAATTCTTTTGGCTTATTTTATATTTTAAGAAAGATTTTCTATGTAATATTATATTTATAATAAAATCTTATTTATATTTATATTTAGATCACTGTATTTAAAAATTAGGTCCAATTTGATTACAACTCTATGAGACTAGATTTTATATTACTCTCTTCAATAGAGTGAATACAATTGAATGCCGTGAAATTGGGGTTCATATGTTATACTCTTCAATTCTAGGGAGAAATTATAAAATTATATATGTAATAATTATACGTATCTTATAGATGCAACTGTTCAAACTCTGAATCTCTAAAAAGAACAACATTTTCTTTTACTATTAAGATCGTTTACTAAGATAATTTCGTGAGTTCTATTATATCAATTAAACAAATTTATAAAATTATTTTTTATAATTAATTAACATATTTTATTTTATGCAATTATAGTATGATATCTAAAAATACCATTATGTATTTTTCTACCATTAAAATTTATCAAGGGATTGAATTAGCAGGGCTTGAACCTTAGTCTTATATGCCCACACAGTAATTTTGACAAAAGTGTTAGATAATGATATTGAGAAAAATAATTCTTTATTTAATGTTTTTAAAATATTATTTCTGAAATTAGAGTGAAATAAATAATATAAAAAATATAAATTAAAATTTCCGATAATTTCATGAAGACGTTAAAATTATAAAGCGTCTTTCAAATATTAGAATTGTTTTTCCTCGTATCATTATCTCAGTTTTTTTCTTAATAATTTTATCACTTTAACAGTGGTTATATTGACTATGAATATATTATATATTTAATATAAATAATACAACGTGTTTCTATTATTAATTAGTATATGCTTGGGCTGAATAAAACTAAATCAGAAAATAGTTTTACCTTAGGCTGAGATAGGTTTATTCGACACATAGGTTAAATGAAAATTTTACATATTTGATACGCAATTTTGGGACAGGAGTAAAATTTTATATTATAAGATATGCACTTAAGGATTTATATTAAAAGTTTTAAGGGATGCGAAATTATAAAATTTTAGGAGGTACGAAATTAAATAATTAATAGAAAATATAAATAAAAACTTAAAATATATGGAAATTAAATTTATAGGGAGTGCGATCATACCCATAACATCTTTTTCGGTCTATCCCTGACGTCAGACATATTTGATAATTGAAATTAGTTAAATAAAACCGTAGCTCATAATTAAGCATATTAAAAACATTCATCAATAAACTTTTAACTTTTATAATAAATTTTTAAAAAATATTTCTTATCTATTTTTCATGTAATTATCCTTATCAAAATCATATGCCTTATTATAAAATAAATAGTATTTATTATCCTTATCAAAATCATATGTCTTATTATAAAATAAATAGTATTTATTATCGTACATGTACGTTTCAAATGAAAATAAATATAGATATATATGAAAATTTTAAACTTTAATATCATCCATACCTTTTTATTTGACGTATTCATTTATTAATTATTTTAAATAAAGCTTTAAAAACTAATTATATATCACAATTACTTAGCTAATTGACTTCCTCTGGTATTAAATTGAAATATTAGATTCTACAAGTTTGTACGAGACCTCGTAGTAAATTAATTATCTTAAAATATTTATTACAATTACGGAGCTAGCTAGTTGACTATTCTCTAATATTAATGAAAATATGAAATTCTACAATGGTGTACGAGACCTGAAAGAAACAATAATTATATTTAAATATGTTATAATTACACAGCCAAATTTGACTCCAAACTTGACTATCCTCTAATGCTAATGAAAGGTCAAATTTTACCATGTTTGAGGAAGTATTTAACTCACGTAATATAATATCATTATTGGGAATAGAGATAGGCATGAGACCTGAACTCGATGGGTTCTGATTTGATCGGTTAGATTTCTTTTTAAAAAAATTGGGTTCGGGTCGGGGTGGGTCGGGGTTTTTAATGTAATGTTCGGGTCGGATTTAGGGAGAAAAATACCCGACCTGACCTGACCTAAAAAAAAATATATTTTTACCTTATATATTTAGGGATAATTACAATAATACACTTCTATATATTATTTTTTTCAATTAAGTCATTTTTTTAATTTAATAAAAATATTTTTTTTATTATTTCAGGTCAGATCGGGTTGGGTTGGGTTCGGGTTGGGTAGACCAAAAACCCGACCCATGCCCATCCCTAGGAATATATTTTTAAAATATAATATTACTTAAATTATTATTAAAAATATTATACATTTTATTGAATAAATTAATAATAATGACGATATAAATACAGATACATGCAAATATAAAATATGTTATATTTTTTTAACATTTCTACTACAAATACTAAATCAAATATGTTAATATAATTATCTTAACATTTCTACTACAAATACTAAATCAATAATGTTAAAATTATAATAATGATATTTACATAACAATAAATCGTAAACTGATATTTACTAAGTCAATATGTAACCAACAATAAATCGTAGAATATTTTAAATAAAATATTTTTACACTTACTTGAGAGTTTCTTCCAACAAGTTGATGTTATAAAAAAACTTTTCGAATTTCTTACTCACTTCTTTTTTACCTGCAAAAACATATTAAAATTAGTATTTTAATATTAAATAATATGATATAAAATAGAAATACTTTATTCGAATACGACTAAAATTTTATTCGAATAATACTTACAGATTAAAGATTGGAAAAAAATTTCGTTCAAAATTTTCTCTAATATTCTTCCTAGATGCTCTCTCTTTCAATTATTCTCCAGATTTTGCCTCTTCTCTCATTTCCTCACCACTGCTTTACTCCCCAATTCTCAACAAAAACACCTCATTTTATAACATCACGGGTATTTATTATACTTTCCCGTTCAACCACCAATCACCAACCTACCCAAGTTATTAATGGATAATTAATGGTGTCATTATTACTTACATGTTTCCCCGTCAGAGGCAACCTACCACCCTAGACTGAAGATGCCAGGTAAGATTAGAGTCTTCTTATTTTGCCTAAAGACGTCAGGTAAGCTTGGAGTCTTCATGGTTGGCTTGAAGACGCCAGGTAAACTTGGAGTCTTTGGCTCGATACTATAGATTTTACCCCATATGGAGAAATAATATGGGAAGTGTATTATTTTGGGGGCATTTTGCCCATTTTTCTAGTAAACTTCGGGTATCCCAGTATATCCATTTAACTGTATAAATAAAAATTAATTTTATTGAGTTAGATAAGAGTACAAAAATGATAAAATTTTCTCATTAATATTTAACATGTTTATATTTTTAGAAATTTAAATTCAAGATTAAAATAAAGATCCGATGTGATTAAAGAACGCAAACATTGATTTTAAGGAGTAGGTGATAGTATTTTTCGTATATGAATCTCCACGCAAGATCCCATTCTACTTAAGTAAAAAATAAACAGTACAAAGTAATATCCATAAATTCCATTATAAAAGGACTATCACAATCCCTGTAAATGGTTTTGATTGGTATTTATAAACCGTAAAAAAGTCGCCTTAGATGTTAGCCGTAAATATCGTATACTTAAAAACCAAATAACAGTCGGTCGTTTTGTTTCCTGGTTTGGTATTTTGTTTATTACGTATTGGAAGAGATATCACATGCAAGCACCAAGATATCAGATTCTGTACAAATCTGACGTAATTGCAAGTATGCATGAAGCCATGGGGTTGCCATGCCATGTGCAGTTTTCATCGATTAAAGTCCAAGTTCATGCTGTCATCTGCAAAGCGTTGAAGTTTGATAGAGAAACTGTTATAATTCTGCTTCACCGTCATTTGAGTATATTCTGTGCATTGAAAGCTCATGATATTTGGCGAGGTCAGTAGAATGTTTTTGTTTTTGGGTGTGGGACTAGCAGTAGCCATAAACTTTTTATGGAGGGACATGAATCTACGTATCAATATCATGAGGGGTTGCATTGGTTTGGAGTTTGGACCATTTGTGGTCGATGAATTGGATCCTATATCTTTCATCCTTTCAACATTTAAAATAAAACCCTACCTTATCCTTATCTGCATACAGGACATTGAGTAATATGAGCATGATTCCACCGTTAAATAAAATGTTAATTCGAGTTAATAATAATAATAATAATAAATAAATATTATTATTGAATCGAACGAATGAAAAAGTAGAGAAACGAAATTGGTTACATGTTTGTAGACATGGAATTGGATGAATTGAGTCAGAAATTGTAATATCCCAAACTACGGGTTAGTGATCAAATTATACAATTTCAGAATTTGGTGATTAAAGTGAAAAAATTGAAAAGTTCAATGATTTATTTGAAAGTATTTCCTGAAGAGTTGTTAGTAATTATTGAAAGAGTCAAAGGGCAAATAGGCCATTGAACAAGAAAAATAATTAAATAAAATTTAGTGGATATTACAATACCCATGCGATGTATGTGTGAAGAGATAAGTTTCCAAACTTATATTCTTCATCTTCTTCTCTTCTCCAACGTGCCCAAGCTAGAGCAAAGGTGAGTTTTATATTTTGTTGATTATTTGTTAATTTTAAGAGTGGATTTTGATCATTAGATGATAACTAAGCTTAAGGAAAACTTAAGTTATCTTAAAATCAAAAGCTGAAGAAGTTATGGAAGATTAAAGAAAATGGGGTTTTAAGTGAA